TAGTTTCTCCTCGCTCCAGCGCTTCTGTGTCCTTTAGCATATACCGAATTACAATGACCTATTTTGTCAATGTCGAGCCCTAACGAGGCAGGGAGAACAGGCGGTCTGTGGCGCTATGACAGTCATTAGAAGCCATGACTGCAGCAAGGTCTCATAAACGCAGCAAACATCTTTACATAGAGTAAATAACTGCACTCAATCTACTGCAAGAAAGAGACGAGACGCTGGAAATATCATATCAATATGCACAGATGTAATATGTGTGTTTGACTGGGTGGAGGTTTTTATTGGGTCGTTAACTTTATTATTGTGGTTCTTTGCTTTGTGAGCATAGGATAGATTTAAATTTTACACTTCTACTCACTTATGATGTTAGTCAAGGATTTAGTGTGTTGCTATGCAGTTGCTATGGTGTTCTGACTGGTTGCTAGGGTATAAAGGCAAATATGAATGGCATTTTTCTTTACAAAAATCACCAGCACAATGCTAGTGTATTGTAGGTGGTTACCAGGGCATTGCTATGCATTTGCTAAGGTGTTCTGACTGGTTGCTAGGGTATAAAGGACAAATGTGAGTGGTGTTTTTCCATGCAAAAATCACCTGCACAGTGCTAGTGTGTTGTGGGTGGTTGCCAGGGCATTGCTATTCAGTTGCTAAGGTGTTTTGAGCAGTTTCTAGTTTATTGCTGTGCAGTTGCCATAGTGTTTTTACTGGTTGCTAGGGCATAAAGGCAAATATGAATGACATTTTTCTATACAAAAATCATCAGCACAATGCTAGTGTATTGTAGGTGGTTACCAGGGCGTTGCTATGCAGTTGCTAAGGTGTTTTGAGTGGTTTCTAGTGTGTTGCTATGTAGATGTTATAGTGTTCTAAGTGGTTGCTAGGGCATAAAGGACAAATTTGAGTGGTTTTTGTCTGTGCAATACTCACTAGCACAATGCTAGTGTGTTGTGGGTGGTTGCCAGGGTGTTGCTATGCTGTTGCTGTGCTGTTGCTAAGGTGTTTTGAGTGGTTTCTAATGCATTGCTATTTAGATGCTATAGTATTCTGAGTGGTTGCTCGGGCATAAAGGACAAATGTGAGTGGTGTTTGTCTGTGCAAAACTCACCAGTACAAAGCTATTGTGTTGTGAGTGGTTGCCAGGGTGTTGCTATGGGGTTGCTAAGGTTTTTTGAGTGGTTGCTAGGGCATAAAGGACAAATGTGAGTGGTCCCTGTGCAAACAGCACTCATGCAGGTCTGTTTATTCATGAAATTACCCCTTTTAAAATATAAACATTTTGCAAACATCACAGAAAGAGTCTAATAATAGATGTTGGAACATTCAGATTTGTTCTATCATGACTGAACAGCCACCCTCGGATCACACTGGTCCCTGATGGCTTTCACTGTGAGGCTGACATGTGGCAGTACTGTGTGTAGGACTCTCTCATGCTTTTACTCAGCACTTCATGATTCAGCACTCCAGCCCTACATCTGCTCCAACTACACAAATAAATCACAGCAAGAATGCACAACACAAAACCACCTCAAAGTGCTGCATTGTTCAGTAAAGAAAAGTAAAGGTTACTTGGCTGAAACACAGCACAATCCTCATAAAAGAGCATGTGTAGGACAGACTTTTCTCTGATCGTGGTATTTACAAAGGAAGCTCACTTGACTGTGTGTGTATCAGCGGGCCTCTGAAGTCCCATGGACCAGCCCTGCAGGAATTAATATTTGCCTGCTGAATCCCTCTTAATCCCAGATTTCAAAGGATGTGATTGTTTTTCATTGAGCGTGGCAAAGCTGTAAGATAGCAACAAGTTTCTCTTTGAGAGGACATTAATGATAGTTAAAATAGGCTGCACAGTTTTTATTTACTACTTTGGCTGCTCTCTGTAACACAACATATAGGACAAGGGCAATCTGTCATTATTATCAAACTGTAAACTTTTTTCTTGCCCCTTGAAGTATTTTGTAATATACTGTATTTTGAATTTTCTTTCAAATGCACTGTTTACAATATATATATTTACTATGTATGTATGTATTACTATGTATTTGTATATAATTTTCTATATGGGTTGCACTGTCTGTTTTGCTTTAAATTAATCTTTCAAATTCAATAAAAATGTATTGAAAGCATATGTAAAATGCTGATGATTACCACAGAGAGTCATTTAGTTGCACGCTGAAGTTTGTAAAAATGAACAATAAAAATTGTGTGCAGAGTCAATTATTTTTTAACAGCTAGAAAAATTGTCCCACCACTCAAAGAATGACTTACAGATCAACTAATAACTTGTAAAATTGAAAAAAGTGTTTTACTAAAAATATGAGCTGCAAGTTTCTTCTTTAAACTCTCCAGACAGCCTTACCTCATAGACTTACACAGTTTTTCCCGTGAGTTTTCACACTGAGAAATGAGCCCAAATGATTTTCTGTGGTAATCGACAGATATACTGTCGATAGATCTTCCGTGCCGTGTATTGAACCTGCAAGTTTCCTTTGATGTAGAGGTTTCAAGAGTGTATTTTTATATCTTTTGCATATCAATGATGCTGAAATATACCTGCAAAGAAATAAGTGTTCTCTTGCCTAGCACTTTGAGGTTTTGTCTGAAGGTTCGATTTGTATCCTTGGCTCCCTATTAAGCTGCCAGAACAAACACAAATGTCACTTTGGTAAGAAAGCTTCTGCAGAGAACATAAATGTAAATTTAAAGGTTTCCGAAGCATCTCAATGGTGTTGTGAAATTTCTTTTCATAGCCTGACAAACTCTGACAGTATGTGCGATGTGTGAAAAACATGCTGATTAAAAATAGAAAGAAAAACGAAGGTCTTAATGATCATGGGAAGGTCACCAAATTTTTTTCTTTCTTTAATGTATGAGAAGAGATGCAGAAACTGAGCCAATCAGCTCAGCAAGATAACAGGCATAAAAATCAAATACCCAATGTTTCATTATCTTTTCACAATCTTTTTAATCGGTTCCAGTTCTGGTTTACACGCTGACCTATGAATTCATCCAGAATGCAATGTCAGAATGCTTGATACTTTATAAAGGTTATTATATTGACATGCTGTTTTGAAAATAGACTATGAACAAGTGAAGACATGATACAATATATGACCAAATATATTGAAACAACAATGACATCACCTGCTTTTATATGCTTTACAAGCAATAATTTCTTAGACCGAGAGGAAAGATGACTTTTTATTGTTATGTAATGAGGCTGTAAACATTATCTTCCCGTGCCAAAGGCCCATGGGTGAAGCTATTAGTCACCCTTGGTTTTGTTGCGTTTTTCAAGCTGTTTTCATGGCCTCCCTCCCCAAAGCAGCCGGAGGAACATCTAGTGTAAAATCAAATGCTCACAATACATCCACATAAATGATGCCTCCTGCAAAATGTTTATTACAACAAAGGTTGATGGTTCTAATCTTTTATTGTACAATCTTGTAAAGTCACCATATGAGCTCAGTGACAAAAAGAGAGCATATTTGATCAAACTGCTCTTAGCTGCTGAAGAGCTGTCGAGAGGTGAGGCGTCCCGAAACGTTTCATCACATGAAGGCTACACTTTTAAATATGACTAAATAAAACCAAGTACCGAAGCTGTCACAGTCAAAACACATGCGATGACATGTCTGAAATCTGCAGGAACGTTGCTGGCAGACACTGCAAGAATAAAACTAAAATCTTAAAGATTTAAGTATTTTCTGAAAAAGAAGAAGAAAAAAAAAGATACAATAAAGGTAACTGAATATAAAACTAATATTAAAAAAGGAAAACAAATAGAGAAATGTGGCAAAAATGTCTAAATATATACTATTATCTATGTTAACATATTTGCAACATGAAAAATGTCAAAGAAAAATTGTTTGCTTGGTTTTACATGATGTAATAATAAAATAAACAAAATAAATAATAATGGTAAGCAAAAACCGTGAACAAAAGAAAAGAAAATATAACAGATATATAATAATATGATAAAATATAGAATATAATATATAATATTAAAAATATTATACAAAATGAAATGAAATAAAAAATGAAAACTGTTTATTATAAAGACAATAAAACATAGCTTAAAAATAAAAACAAAATAAGAATTATGGCTATTAAAAATAAAAATCAATGAACAAAACAAAAATATATAAAATGATACTATAAAGACTCCCAAACATAAAATATGTTAAAAAAGAAAACAAAAAGGAAAAGTAGCAAAAAAACTATATCTGAATACATATTAGCCATATTTATAATATGAAAAATGTCAATGAATGAATGAACATTTGTTTGCTTGGTTTCAGATGATGTTTTTTAATTATAATAAATGTAAACAAAATTCATCAACAAAAGAAAAACAGTCAAATAAAATGAAAATAACAACAAATTATTATAAAGATTATTAAAAATAAAAACAAAATATGAATGCAAACATAACAAATATAAAATAATAATTGTGGTTATTTACAATTATAAATGAATAAAAATATATGAGGGTACTAAATAAAAAATCATTCGAATTATATCTTTATATACAGTATAAAGCAAATATGTCACCAAATTTGTTTCACAAAGATACAATGTTCAAATCAAATATTCCTCGTGTTTCTTATACTAGTCTAAACACTGTTAAAATGTCAACAATCTTTTGTTTGCTTGGTCTCGAGAGGATAAAGGTGCTCGGGTTATTTCTGACATCATGCTTTTGTCTTAAACAGAAATACGAGCCTGTGTGAGCTCAGCGCTGATGGCAGGGGTTATTCTTCAGGCCTGACGCTGCCGCAGGAGCGCTCAACCTGGAGGCAGAGCGAAAACTGGACCATTACATCATTGCTATGGGATAGAACGAAGCCCCGCCCCCTATGTTCAATAGGCGGAGCGACCTGGTCTGACATTCCCATTGGTTAATGACAGCGTAACGGGAAGCGGCGAGGGGGCGTGGCCTCGGCGTGTAAGGGCGCTTCAAATACACTGTAAAAGATGCATAAGGGAGCGATGCTGATGCTGTTGACGCGAGAATAATTTCACTCCGGAGGCAAGCTTTCGAACGGACCGAGAGGGTGAAAATAGACTTCATATTTAGAATAAAATAAGCAAACGCAAAATATAATCAACTGCCTAGAGTAGAAGCGACCATTTGCTCAAATTGCAACGCAATAGTAGAGAAATAGGTGAGAGTGAGTCCCTGGAACGGATCCATCCTTCAGTCGCTGGAGGTAAGGGCGTTTCTGAAAGCATCTCTTTGGCATTCGCGGTTTCAGTTCAGAAGTTACACACTTGCAAACTGATGGTAGTACTTCGTAGAGGGAATAAAACCGCTGGTAAATGTATGTGTATATTAAGAGTCGGAAGGTTGTACTCTGAAGTCTGTGAGCTCGTCTCCTTCTTTTGGAGCTGATGGTCGAATCCTCTTCACCTGCTCCTGGACTCAGTGACCCTGTAGGAAGCATCTGAAGAGACTCAAATAACACAGAGACACA